CCTCCTGCAGAAGGAGCCCTGGTGGCGCAATGGGTTAAACCCTTGTGCCGGCAGAACTGCTGACCAAAAGATCAGTGGTTTGAATTCGGGGAGCGGCATGAGCTCCCACCTGTCAGCTCCAGCTTTCATGTGGGAACATGAGAGAAGACTCCCATAGGATGGTAAAACATCAGATCGTCCCCTGGGCAACATCCTTGCAGATGGCTAATTCTCGCAGTTTCTCAAGTCGCTCCTGACATGAAAAAAAATCCTGTGATCTATAATTTGAACAAGAGTTCATTGGCAGAAAACTCTAGATACCACACAAAACTACAGATCACAGGATTCCATACAATAGCATCGTGGGAATTAAAGTGTTATCAAATTATAGCTTAGGTCTATATTCTTATTTTATTGTTGTATGCCGTCAAGTCTACCTGTTGTGGGGGAAAATAGCTCAGAGTGAGTTTACCCTTACCTTCTGATGCTTAGGGGGTATGCCTTGTTCAAGGCCACCCAGAGGGTTTCCATGATCGAGGGAGGATTCAAACCCTGTCATTCAGGATCTTTGTCCAATACTCAGACCCCCCTCCCCCCAACACCATGAAGTTTTGGAGGTTTTAAAGTGGAATGGAAACAAATGGGCACACTATGTCCAGTTCATTTGAGAGAGTAAATGCTGTTAGTATGTATGTAATTGATAAGGACCAGAGGAAAAAAAGTTCATTTTATTAGATCTTGGTGGAAGTGGCAAAGTCTCAGCCCATTTATTTGTTCCATTTATGTGCTGCCTTTTTCCTGTAGAGGGATTCAAGCTGGCTCACAGAAAGATACAAGACGAGTGAATGTGTTTTTCTTTCAATACAGCTAGCAAGCCGGAAGCGGTACATGTAGTGGTGGACAGGCATCTTGTCACTGGACAGAATGACAATTCTACTGTTACAGCTGTTCAGAATCTTGTTTTTCTATGCAATGGCAGGTAAGAAAAGTTGTGGGAAATTGCCACTAAAATGTAAAGTAGTGGAAGCTGGAATTTTGTACAGCAGATTCTGTCTTTCAAGTTTTGGACTATTTAAGAACACCCTTCCATGATACACAATGTAATCGTAAGTGGTAATTACAATTATATTTCATAATGAAAATGATTTTTAAATATAATTTGGCCAACTCAATCTTTTTTTTTAAAGCTGCCAGCACCGCAGCAGCAACAGCATGTCCAATAATGTCTTATAGATGCATTCACATACACGCCACACATCTTTGACTTTTATACATTTGGTTGACACAAGATATTTACCACTAGAAAGGTGCAAAATATTTTTATTGTGACACAAAAATTAACTAAACAAAACCAGGCATTTGTTGAGAGTCTGTTTTCACAAACCTAAATTTCTGATGCAACCCATTGCCTCCAGAAGTCATGTACTCAAAAAGACTCACAAGAGTAATTGCTGCTTAAAGTATTTCTACCATGTATTTCTGTCTGTGTCCACCAATACATACCAGCTTTGTTTATTTAATGTCTCCCATAATAAGAAATATTTTGCACTTTCAGTATTGAGTATCTTATGTACATCAAGTGATAAGAATGTCAATTGAGCCCATTTTAATCCCATGTGGGAAAAAATAGAGGGAGAAGTGTTGAATACTTCTGCACTAAAGATACATGAAGGATCTAAACTCCAATCATCGGATTAAGTGTGGCAATTTGTACCAGTAACTTTCCTTTCTTAAAAACCTAGTCTACTCTCAATAGCAAGAATAAGTGAGCCTCCCTCGTAGGAGCTTATCTACTACTATACCAGTATGAAAATCTTTGTAGTACATATAGATGCAAGCTCCTGGTTTAACTGTGATTTATTTCATATTTCATTTAGCAGAAAATGATGAAGCGAGTCTTGTAAATTGGATGAATAAGTGAATAGAGAAGATGTCTTCAGTTTGGAAGATGGAAATGTAAGGCTTCCTGCCTTTGGAAGAGAACATCAGTGTTTACTTAAAGACAGAACTCTAAATCCTGGAGTCATCTCACCTTATAACACTTTTTTTGTTTCTTGTTTCTTTAAACCTGTCTCTTGACGGATGCTGAAAGTAGTAAATACATAGCAAAATTTGATTTTTCATTATGCGAACAAGGTAACTCATACCTTAGGCTCACACGTCCTGTTTCCCCTTTCCTTTTTTGCATAGCCAAAGAAGGGCTTAGATTGAAAGCTATTGCTTTCACTTTGAGGTGCAATTCTCAGTGGTACTTGATCTTGTTGAAGCTGGAATGGACCTCGACCTTCTAGTGTTTATTTTGCCTCTTCCCAGAACCCCATGGTGTCCTGCTGGAGTTTGGGACAAAGGCAATTTAATCAGAAATGAATAGTTCTCAGTTCAGGAATTTCTTTTGAGAACCTGAACTTACGAGTCCTTTGTCACAGAAGCCTACCCCTGATTACTTTCTGCTTTCTTCCTTATGGAAGTATAATTTAGTGTGGGAGCAGACTTGGTTGCTGTATCATTAAATAGTTTTCAGGGGTTTCTGGCTCCCTATCTACAGCAGGCCATCCAGAGATCTATTGTTAGGTCCAGCCTTGTTTCCAATTATATTTGACATTCATGAGATACGTGGTAAAGTTGTGTTATTTGTACATCTAGTAATCTTACACTTTTAAGAAAATAAGATAAATCTGTCAATTTACATTTTCAGCTGCAGTTTTGATTTACCTTTTAAGCTTTTAACTAACACAGTATTGAAATTACATACTTAAGACCTATATAAGCTTCAGGCCAGTGAGCTACAAAATTGCTTCTAGATCATATGATCCTTTTGTAAAGATATAAAACAATTGAATGTGAAAACATTTTATGTTGGGGAAAATAGCATTAATTTTTTTTTAAGTTCAAAGATGTTTTATTTTGTTCTACATTTAAATTCATTGTACTTGAATACCTGTAGTACATTTCTAAGTGTTGTGGAAACTGTTACATTTGGACCAAGTTGTATTTCATACTGTGTAAAATATTTATGTGTATGACTTGATGGCAATGAGTTATAATACTCATAAGTTTGTTATGTAATAATTGTTTTGGTTTTAAAATTCAAATGGCACAAGGGATACTTTTATGTTAAAAGATTAAGTAATAATGAAAATTGAGACAAAAGTCTTTGAATAGAGGTGTAGTTCTAAATTTTCTTGGGCAAATACGTGAAGTAGTGTTTGGATCGATTGAATATTTCCTTGGAAAGTGCATATAGAGTACCTCCCAGCAGTTTAGTTGATGTTCTATGGCTTTGTCATGTGTAGCTTTCACAGTGGTAACTAAAGATTTATTTTGATGAAACCAGATTATCACTTGAGTCATCTCACATTTTCCACAAGTGACCAAAAAAGTAACACATTGTTTTAAAAAACAATTCACTAACAAATGCGTGACTAGATTCAGTAAGAAATTGGATTTGGAATCCTGTTGTGCATTTACAAACGTGTAACCAACTTTTGTGCTTGTAACAGTTTGGTATTCACAATTCACACATATGCACTAGTTAAAGAGATACATAGGAACCATGAAAGTCCCTCAGTCCCCAGAAGCAGCTGCTGACTATCC